GAAGTGTCTGTGAACTTTGGCAAGGCAACAGTTATATTGTAGAAACCAAATTTGTAATTAAAGTCTACCATTAGCCAAGATCTCATCAATGAGGTTGCAGTAGTACTGGATTCCTTCTTTGTTCAATCCGGCATTCAATCTTCCACCTAATATTCGAATTTGAAAAATCAAAAGACAACAAATCAATTTTGATGTTACGAACTCTGTAAGACCACATAAATACTATTTTTTTTTCTGGTAGTAGAGGATGGTGGGATTTAAGAATCAGGCAGAGAGGGATGGGGGATTTAAACTCAAACCCTTTAATTCTTGGATTCTAAAATGTTGCTACTAGATCAAGGACTATTTGGATTTGGTAGAGCATCGGTCTAGGGGTGAGCAATTACGGTAATTACCGAATTACCGACCAAAATCGATTTGAATTTGGTAATTCGAAGTCGGTAATTCGATCAGTAAATCGGTGATATCGAATTAGTAAGAATCGAATTAGGATCGAAAATGGTTTTGGAGTTTTTGAATTTGGATTTATCAAATTCGAATTTATTTTGGTAAAACTATAAAATATTACCGTTTTCAAATTCGAAATTCCGAATAAATTTAAATAGGAAATAATATGTCCAGATGTATGTTCCAATTTCAGTACTCTAATTAGTACACTTTCTAATTTCACTATTTCTGCTCTCCTCTTCCTCTCGTTCCTTTGCGCCGCCGCCCACTGAAGTCTAAAGCCTAAGCTGTTTCTGAGTTTCTCCTCTCCTCAACTGAAGACACTTTCTCAGTTTCTCGTTTCTCCTCTCCTCTCCTCAATTACAGAAGGCTCACCCCTAACTTTCTCCGTTTCTCGTTCTGCTTGCTTTCTGCTTTCTGTTTCTGGTTTCTCAACTGAAGATAGAAACCCTAAGCGGCTAAACCTCCTCCAGCCGACTCCTCGCAAGTCACACCTCCTCCAGTTGGTCCATTTAAAGGTTTGGTTAAAAATTAGAACTGCTCATTGAATAAGAGGTTAGACATGGATTCTCTAGTTTTTTGTTTGTTTCCTATTTGGCGTCTTTCAAGTAGGGACAGAAATATTAATCATCAGAGGAAGAGAGGAGGAGGGGGGCGGTCTTCATCAATGGCAATTGACTTCTGTAATGTACACCCACTGGCCAGCTCTTGGGGTTTCCTAAAATGATGAGGTAGTAAAACGGATGTAAGGCTTGAGAAATTTGGCAATGGGATTGATAAAAAAGAAAGTAGGCAGACAAACCAATTTTCAGTAATCATGAGATAACGTGCGCTTTCTCTTTTAGATATCTGGCTCTGCTTTATGGTTTCTAATTGGGCATTTGCCTTGTTATGGTAACGTGCTGTTTGCTGATGAAAAATGGTCAAAGAAGCAGTTTCCTGGAATTCAGTTAAATCGGTAACTTTTCGTTTTCTGAATTGAATTTGGATTGAATTCGAATTCGATATTTTCTATTTCGAATGCGAATTAGGTCGAATATTTCCAGAACCATTTATCAAAAATTACCGATTTCAATCTACCGAATTACCGAATTCGAATTCGATTCTCACCCCTGCATCGGTCAGCATGCAATTCCAGAACAATTGATGGTTTAAAGATGCGACTGATTTAAAATTCACCAGACGAGATTCATTTTGGAACACAAATTTTGATGAGTAACAAAAGTTATGGAAATTTTTTGGATATTTTATATAATCTTTTGTATCTAGATCTATTATATTAGTTCATAATTATACCGTGCAATTGAAATCAGCCAAGTGTTGAAACTATTAATCCCATTTGTCCAGTTACATTAGCATCAAATGTTGGGCATATGCTTGAATCATTAGTTTAGTTCAATCATTAGTTTTCATGGCCAGAGGGCTAGAAAACCTCCAAAAAAGGACAACAAATATTTCCCACCTAAGAATTAACCATATGGGCAATTGTGATTTCTTAGCTTTGATGCTGATTACAAATAAGAATTGGGTCTAATGTTAATCTTTGCATTTCCACTTCAATGGCTACTTTGGTATCCATTAATTTGACAACCGTATGAGGGGAATGACAATCAATTTTTGAAACATCTCTCCTAGAATACAAATGGTTGATAGCCAAAAACCAAAATTGTTTACTACTTCAATTAGAAATATATTCAATAATTTCACAACACAAAAAGTTAATTTTTTTTAAATAAATATTTTATTTATTTTAAGAAAATTTTGACAGAGTTTTCCCTTATAAATGGACGAAACTCCCTGCCAACAAACCCAAATTGAAGAAAAATAAGACATGCCACTTACTATATTCTAACTCTACGAAAGTTTGGAAATCCCAATTGATGAAGAGCAAAGTCCCTCTCAGCTAGCGAAGCAGTTCACAGAATGATTCATAAATTGAAGTAATTCGTGATTCCACTCCAATGTTTGCAAGACAGTCAGCAGGTTCCCATGAATGATCATCAAACCTTTTCGTATACCAGGACCTTCATACTATCAAGCAATTGGTACGAGTGCACCAGCTCCTGTATCTGAAGCAGTAAATCTATCTGTTACTTCTTTCTAAAGAATCCCGAATTAGCCAACCTCTTAGGTTAACCTACTTTCCTCCGCCTGAGGGAAAGTATAAAAGCATTATCTTCATTTAAATTTCTCTTTATATATAATATTGCTCCCATTGGTTATAGGTCCTGGCTCAGCCATTATTTCCATATATGAGATGGTAACGAAAAAGCACAAGGTTTGATAGCAAAACAAACAATGTGCAATACTCAAGACTATACTGTTACTGGTTGGGTGGAGATAATGTGTCCGAAAAACTTTAAATGGTAGTGACCCCTTAAAAAGAATTAAATTGGATACAATATTAATGTGCAAGGACTAAATTGGCTTAGCCAAAAAAAGTTGAAGGACTAAATTGATGATTTTCTTAAATTTTTCCAAGAAACAAAATTAATAATGGATGAACTAGGGGATCTAGGACAGGATTGGCTGTTTAATCCAGTTCAATTGGTAGGTTGATCATATTCACTTGAAAGACGAAAATTGTATCCAATCCTTTTGCCCAAAAGAATAATGTAATTAGTGTGTTATACAACACAAATTAATGAGAAAAATACTTGAAGGCTTTTAAAGGATAATTGATTGTTAATTTCTTTACAAATGCACCACGAATTTAAGTTCAAACTACGATTATAAAATCTTTTATCCTTTTCTTTACAAGTTCCTTAGGAATGTAGGCTTTTACAATAATTAATCGTTTTTATCCTTTTCTTTACAAAAACCAAGAAATCTTCATTCTTGATGCCAACTCTTTAACATGCAGGTGGAATAAAGTGGTTAGTCATGTCCTTTTCATACAAGAGTAAAGTGGTTCGTTAGTTTGACAACAAAAGAAAACGTAAAGTGCTTGACGATTTCGAACGGAAAAAGATTATCCTTTTCTTTGTAAATGTGATACAAATTTAGATTATGACTGAGATTATAATCTCCTAAGAATTCAAGCTTTGACTAGGATCAAAATTAGTTTATCCTTGCCTTTATAAATATCTTACGAGTTTAGCTTTTAACTAAGATTATAAGTCTCCTTTGGAATTAAGTTTTGCTAAGATCAAATTTCTTTTATCCTTTCCTTTACGAAAACACTAAGAATCATCATAACTGCAGATAGTTGGTTCAGTTGATAAAGCACATTAAAAAAAAAGAAAAATATGATCTAGCAATTTATGCAAAAGGATAATTTTAGAAGCCTCCCCTGAAATTTCTGATAAATTTACTAATCTCCCTTGAAGTTTGGAAAATTACTCTAACCTAGTTTATGATTTGGTGACAAAATCAGTCTCTCTATAAAAAAGTATAATTAAAAAATTACTTCTAGGAGAGAGATGAAAATTTTGTTCCACAAATGCCCCTTATGATTTCCAGTCAAGGCGTATTAGCAAAAAATAATTATCAATTGTAAACAATTAATAAAGTTGAGGGGAGGTAAGTAGAAATAGCAGTTTTGAAGTAAACATCAGAAATCTTTCTTGACAAATCTGGATAAGCGATCGACTAGTGCACCTGATTCCACAATGGCTACTTTTTCAGCTTTTGGCCATCTTGCACATAAAGGCAACAACAATCATTGATAAGCATCTCATTTTCACTTGAAGTAGCAACAATTGAGGTGAGAAAATAGTGCTGTGGTTTGGATTTTGCAAGCTGAAGGTGAAGAAGTCGAAAATGAAAAAAATGGGGTCCTAGCTGATGATAGATAGTCCCGATGTATAACAAATAGTTCCTGGTCAAACCGACGGATCCGCTCTGAGTTTAACAACATAGCCATGCAGAGTTTAACAAATGTTGATTAAACTTTTGCGAAGTAACATGAGTATGATATGTGTAAGCACGGCAATTTTGGTGGCTAGTAGAAAAACGAGAAGACAAGTAGAGGATTCAGAGTTCAAGTTTAGATGGTTTCTATTACTTTCTGTGCAATTGTTGTTTTATGGGTGATTGTTGCAGCTCAGGTTCATAAATTTGGAAATTTGAGTCTGTACATTAGTAGTTTAGCTTCCATGATACGTAAATTTATTGCAATCAAAGTCCTATTAATTCTGCATTTATCATTGTTTGTTGTGTTATTCTTGGATTCAACGGTTGTTATTTGCAGTGGTTGAATTTGTGCAAGCAATTTTATGATATTGTTTTGTGTTCATCATGAGAATCTCATGATGACAACATCCCATATCTTGAAATCCGTCGATGAGCCCCCAATTTTGGGGCGTCAAAGATAGGCTATTTTTATTGCCTTTAACAGCATATAAACAAACAAATACAGTGCTTAGGGTAATATTAAGTAAAAACCAAGCTTTTCAATACTCATCATGTGCCGATGTGCAAGTACCTATATAAAAGGATTTAGCACATCATTGCTTTGCAAAGTAATGTTTTACTGGATACGGAGAAAATAGTGTAAAGAGAAATATGAGTTTTATGACATACAGATAATTAAAGATGGAACATGCCATGTCTGAATTTTATCTACTGACAATATATATACTAGCGGGTTTAAATGCATGCCACGTATATCAAATTTGAAATTCAAATTCAAATAATGTGACATTCATCTAACTCCGTCAAATGTACAGTGTAGAAAAGATTAATCCTGATATAAACTTTAGACTCCGTCAAACGTATAGTGTAGAAAAGATTTTGTGTTTAGCTGATCCGCGCTGCAGGACACATGAGGCAGGAAGCTTGCTCCCCACCAACCTTCTTACATCGCGATTAGCATTGACAGCAAATACGAGAGACTAAACGCAGGGAAGACTTGACAATCCAGCCTGAAAAGGCTAAACATTATTTCATGACTCACAACAGAAACTCTGGTGCAAAGCATTCACCAGGTTTCAAACAACACAAAGGTCTCGTACGTGCTAAACCTAATTTTTTCCATGACTAGTTACAACAGAAACTGTGGTGCAAAGCCAAGCCACTTGACTTTAATCAGCAGGCATGAATTAGAAAGGACTAGTAACTTTCACGAGCCCTCTTAGCAGGGGTCTCATAACCAGGAAGTTCCATTGCAGAAGCTGGCATCTGCGCATTGTCAGATGTCGAAAGTGCCTTTACAGGTCTAGGTTTGAGGAAGTTCTTAAACCATATGGCTGAGTCCTTTGGGTATCTTGCCAAATTTGCATCATTGAAGTCCACATAACAAATGCCAAAACGGTCTTTATATCCCACTGCCCACTCAAAATTGTCAAGTAATGACCACGCGGTATAACCTTTCACGCTGACAGAATACCTACATAAAATGTGTTACATATGACAACATAGAGGATTTTAAAGCTGGGATAAAGTTAATTCTAAGATTAATATTAATACACATTTAGTAAAAATGAAGGCAATTAAGCAAGGACTTACTGGTCGATTGCCCGTTTTAGTGTCTTTAGGTGATCGCGGTGATACCTGATCCTAATATCATCGGATAGAGAAAGGTAAATCGTACCATCTAGAGCACCAGCATCAGCGACACCTGAAATGCCAAGAAAAAGTGATATATCAAGAAACTAGTTTTATGAAGTAAATAATATTCCAGGCCGTAAAATGTAAATTACCATTTTCAGTGATGTAAATTGCTGGATTATTGTAACGCGTCTTGATGAGACACAAGAGCTTGAAAAGTCCCTCTGGATAAATGTATATCCAACCAGAAGATGTCTGAGAATCACAGAAGGAAGACATTAAGCCAATTGTTGAGAAATTTTTCAACATCTATCTATTTGAAATTAATATCAAACCTTTTAGATTGACAAGACTGATACCACCAATCGAGCTTTACTTTGAAACTTAAAACATGAAACTATTGTTGATTTACCTCCTTGTATAAAATAAACATTCAAATTGCACCACTATGGGTCTAACGAAGTTAAGATGCTAAAGTATTGAAATAATAATAGTATTTTACAGTCACTGACACTAAGATTTCGACAGTTCTTGAATTTTAAACTCCGGGCGTGACTAAAAGATTGATGACTGGTTTGGTTTTCAAAACAAAACTGGAAAACCAATGGTGTTCATTTTGAGGGGAGGACTGATGGTATTCAATTCATTTGAATGGAGGTACAATCAATCCCTACTTAAATTTTTCTTAGGAAAATGTGATCGATAATTTTATGCAGAAATGCAAAAAACACTTACACGTTCACCAATGGGTTTGCCGTCAGGACCAGTCGCTACAAGATGTTGAATGAGGGAAATAAGTAGGCATAGATTGTAATAAAATCATAATATTACAGTAACAAAAATGAAACAATTAGCTATTGAAAAATATTTCGGATGAGCTCACCCGTAGTCTTGGCACCCGAATCTGTTAAGTAACTAGGCTCTGGATAAACAGTAGGATCATTATATGCATAATTAGCAGTATAATAATTGAGCCCCAGAAAATCATATGATCCTTTTAATTTGGCTGATTCATCATCCGAGAAACGTTTAAGACGGTTTTCTGGTACACGATCAGTCATTGACTTGGGATACTGACCATATGTTACTGGATCCATAAACCTGGAAAAGGTGCTCAATGACTAAGATTAGAAACCTGAAAAAGGTAATAAAATTTATAATAAGCACCAAAGCTTGAATTTCCAAGGTTCAAGAGGGCAATTACTTACCAGCCAAACGTGAAATCAAGGGCTCGGTCAGCTGCCTTTGCATCATCTGCTGATTCAGCATTGTATGGTTCAAACCAAGTGGCGTTAAGGGTTATTCCAATTTGGCCTCCTTGAGCACTCTAAAAGCTCGACATAAGTAAGATAACATCAACATATATACTTGAAAAGCTTTAGTAATTATTTTCAATTTAAAGAAATTTAAAAAAAAAAAATTTCAGAAACCTCCCCTCCCTGTTTCAGACAATTTTACTTAATGCCCGTATAATTTTCAATATTACACTGACCTTCCTTCATAGCTATCACATGACTATAATAACCTTCCCAAAACTATGATATTTGTCCTAGTTGAGGCTAGTACTGCAAATTGTAAGGAAGCATACTAGGACGAAAGGGAGAAGAAGAAATCTACTGAGACGTCATTTAATCCTTTTGCAACGCAAAGTGTTAGAAACTAGGAGCGAAAAGTATAGTTATGTCTCTCATACACACACATATATGATTCTTTATCTGTAAAATGAATTTGCTGAGGGACATTTCAATATGCTCTTTTTTTTTTTTTGTGTCAGTGTAAGTGTGTGTGTGTGGATACCACCTGAAACTTTTGTCTGTATATTCGAACAGCTTCAGCATGAGCAAGAAGCATGTTGCGTGTTACAGTGTACGGCTCTGTCCCTGGATCTCCATTTTGGCAAATTTGCGGATGCATAACATCACATCTATGCTGAACAATGCTGAGGGACCCATGATCCGCTGAACTTGAACCTCGATTGGGAGGAAATGTCCCAGCTGCATAGCCAAAACATGATACAGTCCAAGGCTCATTGATTGTGATCCAATTTTTCACTCGATCTCCAAAATGCCAAAAGCATAGTCTTGCAAAAGCAGCAAAATCGGCCCTGAAAAACTTGTTCCACATAAATGTACTATATGTCTCGCTTAATTTGGTTTACGAATTTGTAAATATAGGTACATGTATGTTTCTACTATTAGCAATAACCCTTTTGCACCTCGTTGTAGTCAAGAACAATAAGGGCAAAGTTAAATATAGAGATAGTAAATATGCCCACATAGCTAAAGAACCGTATATTAGACTCTAGTTCTCTAATTTTAAAATTTTTGGCATAATGGGCTTATTTTGCAATTTTGGTTTCCAAAAATTCGAACAAGTTTTTATCTTATAGTTATACTCACCAAAAGAAGTACTACACTACAATATTTTCCAAAAGAAATAACGCGCCCCAAAAAATAATCATGCTAATAAAGCTGTGAGACGGTTTTAGTCCTACCTCCACATGGTGATATACACATTTAAATGTTCTTATAGAAAGTCAATTAGTTAAACTGCTATACACCATTCCATGTTGTATATTCGTTTATTGTCTTTAAAGTTGTAGTACAGTGGCGGTGTTGTCTTTAAGCTATCTATGTTAGTTTACTTGCACCGAGAGGAGATATGAGCATCTGGATGTGAAATCTTTTGCACCATGTGGGGTATTCTATTGTTTGCTATTATTGGAGACGATCATGCTTTTTATGAAAAGAAAAACTATAATAAAGTTAAAAAAATGGTATTAAGATTTAAGGAATATGAATTTCTCAAGTTGTGGGCATTCGACACTTGTTTATCAATGCCCTCATTTTTTGCCATGCAATGAATATAGAGATGCTATCATTCAACTATCAATAAGAAAAGTTTCTGAATCACTTACACTATTTTTTCATCTAGGAAACTTCCATACTCATCTTCTAGAGCCTGAGGCACGTCAAAGTGCAAAAGGGTAACAAAAGGCTGAATGCCTGAACAGATTCAATAGTATATGGAATGAAATGTTAGTGAACTTTGACAAGCCAATCAATTATATGATTTTAGAGATTAATGAAAACTGTAATCAAAGTCTTACCATTGGCCAAGAGTTCATTAATGAGGTTGTTGTAGTACTGGATTCCTTCTTTGTTCACTCCGGCATTCAATCTTCCTCCTAACGATCAAAATTTTGAAAAATTAAAAGAAAAAACAAGATCAGTATTAATTTTAAGTTGAATTATATACTACATGTTTTGCGTATTTAATATGAAAGGTTACATTATTGCTTTTGAAAAATTGAAAAATTTTTCAATGCCTCATGAATTTGGTAATTTGATCATCTTACAACCTGGCAGTATTCTAGTCCATGAAATTGAAAATCTGTAGTAGTCAAAACCAAGTTGCTTCAACAATTGCACGTCTTCCTGGAGAGTAAATTAGTGGAAAGAGTAGGAAAAGTTAATCTTGATTTTCCATAGGCCAATTTAGAAAAGAAGACAAGTCTAAAGGATGTTATACGAAGCACCAACTAAAATATTCTTAATTATCAAGATGTACCTTATACAGATGGTATGAATCCGCTGCTACATCTCCATTGTCATAATTTCTAACCTTGTCTGAAATTTAGCTGTTTCTCTTAGTATACAAGCACCTATGCAATTATTGTTCGCACAAATAAACGGGAAAAAAAATAACGAGGAAGAAAAACCTGGTTTCTTTCTGCACATCTCGTCCCATATGCTAGGGCCTCTACCGCCTTCCTTCGCAGCACCTTCAACCTATCGACCACATTAAACAAAACACAACATTATCAAGATGTTCGTAGATACAACAAATGCACGTACAAATCAAACTATATTGATGATGATTGATGAATACGCAAAAAGAAAAATAAGAACAAAAAAATTATCGCACAAAAGTCAACGCAAGTTGCAGGCTGAAATTTAAGAAAGTTATAGTAGTAACCTGATAAGCAGATGTTGCAGTTCCAAAGAGGAAATCTTTCCCAAAGTCAGAACGATTAATCTCCAATTTCTCCATACTCAGAGTACAAACACTTTGCAGATGGAGGAAAGTTGGATATTGAGTTGCAATTGTAAGCCCTCTGTGGGCTTGCCTTATTAATTAACCTAAAAGTAGACTTAAGTGTTTGGAAAGTCTCCAATGGGTGTGTGGTTTTGGTGACGTGCCAGTTCGTGATTTGCTGAAATGTTGTCGTCCTCCATGTGCTGCTCACGTGACCTGATGGTTGGAAATTGGGATGTGAATTCCCAATTGCTGAACGTGTTTGACCTCAATTTTGTCATGTAGGCTGCGCACATGCCAAATGCCATCAACGAATTTTGTACCAACAAGTAAACTATTAGTACTCTATATCAGTGGCTCTGCGAAGGTTTCCATTGATTTGCTCCACAATTTAATTAACCATATATAGACTAAGTGCTTAGAAACTCTCCAAAAGGTGGGTGGTTCTGCTAACGGGTTGCTTTGTGATGGGTGGAAAAGTTAAAGTCCTGCACGTGCTCAATGCTTGCTTTGTCAACCATATAGACTAGGGGGTAAAAGCCTCCTTTGTCGCGCTCCAAGCTCGCACGTGTCCGTTACACGTGGCATCTGCCGTATTCTCAAATTCCACTAAAAAATACAAGGCAACATTTAACTAGTCTAAACTTCAAAAGTACGAAATAATATAACTAAATAAAGTGCGGTACAAATGTCTATCAAGAATAGTCTACGAATATCCAATAAGTTCGTACATTCCCGGATTGAAACAACAGAAAATGGATATAAGTAAACTAACGACTAGAAGTAGCTAGCCTGCCAACTTCTATTCATTTAATGCTAATAAAAGTCGTCCTCATGATCTTCTACGTAAACCAACTTATACTCTTCAGAATATGCAAGAATGGTAAAAAGTGGGTTGAGCGACAAGTCACTCAGTAGGTAATATCTACCCTTCTATTGGACCATGTACTCGTAACTTTATAGATACATATATAGATACAAATCAAATTATTTGCGCCTCGATCACATCCATGATCTTGAAAGTAACATCTTTTAATAAAAATCAGTAGTAACAAATGGCAAGCAACTTAAAAGCACCTTATTGATAAATGTATATGAAAAATCATAAAGTTATAAATCATTTCATCTCAATTCACAAGTCTCTTTATATCCATTCATAAATCAATTCATATCAGTTCATAAGTCTCATTTCAGATCAGTTCATAAATCATTCCATATCAGTTCGTAACAAGTACATGTAATGACCGGCTACGAAGTACTCAGCCTAGAGATTAAACCCCTTCTAGGTGGGCGACCAATAGATTTCATGACTACCGATTGGTCTCATTTCATACATGGATCAATCGGCCGGACTTTATACCAGACTATCATGACTTTATCAATCGGCCGGACTCTATACCAAGCTACCATGACCTTGTCAATCGGCTGGACTTTATACCAGGCTACCTGTGACTCTCGAAAGAAGAAAAACAGAAAAACTTTTGGTGGAAAGGGTTAGGACCAAATCCGGCTGCAAATCCGGCCAGTTCTTGGCCGGATTATTGATGGATTTTGAAAAAAAAATTAATTTCTCCACTGCCTTGAATCCGGCCTGGAATCCGGCTAGAAATCCGGCTGGATTCCGGCCGGATTGTGACGTGTTGCAGTCGGCAGCCAAGTTTGACTGGCTGTTTTCTTCATTCTTATCTTGTTTTTAGCTGAATTGGTCTTCATTTTTGCTCTTTCTTGGCCGGCTACTTTGAGAGGAAGAACCAAGAGAGTTCCTCAACTTCAACTTCCATTTTTGCTCAAATCTTGACTTTCAACCGGTAGTTTTGGAAACTACTCCATACAAGTGTGTACTAAGGAAGATTAAAGAAGGTGATGGAGTGATTTTTGAAAGTGAAACTCTAAGTTGCTAGCTTTCTTGAGTTTTGAGGTAAGTTGGATAAGAAAGTTTTCTCTTGCTTTAATAATGGTAGATTAGTGACTTATAGTAGCTAAATAGGTGGTTTTGTGGATGATTTCATAATTTGAAGTAAAGTTGGATCAATTTCTGAATTATTGGGGAATTTTCTGATTTTATATGATTATTGTTAGTTGGTCATGGAATGATAGTTTGATATGGTGTGAAATGGGGCCTTTGTGTGTTAGTTGTGGTTATTTGCGAAAAATTTCAGAATTTGTGCGGAAATTCCAATTTTAGGGTTTTAATTTGGGGCTTTCTTATGGTTGGTTCTTGAGCTCCTAATTGGTTAAGATTTAAGGGTATTGTGGCCTTAATTAGGTGTGTTTTATAGTCTATGAATTGTATGTATAATTGTAATTGAATTGAGATGTGATTGGTAATGTATTGTAGGAGGGAAAATAAGGAAATTAAAGGGAAATGCTGCCCAATCTTTGAGAGCATTTGATAGTTTTGTTATGTGAAATATTGAGGGTATGTGTGCTAGTTTCACTTGCCTTCGGAAATTCCAACTTGTGTAGGTTAATATCAATGTTAGGGTTTCGAATTGGGGCTTAATTATGATTGGTTTTGGAGCTATCAATGTGCTCATATTGAGGGGGCATTGTGGCCTCATTAGTTATGTGGTATATCTTATGATTGTTATGTGCACTTGTGGTTCTATACAAAGGTTAGTTTAGAAGTCTAATTTCCGTTTACCATGTTTCTAGACTTAACTTGGACTGCACATTTCTCCATGTTTTAGATCGAATCAGCTGTTGGACAAAACATGAAAGTTATAGATGTATGAGTTATCCATCTACCTGCAAAATTTCAGCTCAATCGGATTACTATATCATTGAAATGACCGAAATACCTTTGACTGCCCATAAGCCCTATTTCATGGACAGTTTCCATTTTTTCTCTAAGATTTCAATTTTTGACCATGAATATGTATGATTTGGCTTTGGAGGTCTTCACAAGAAATGTTGGTATATGTCTTAGTTTCGTAACGCCATAAGATTCGTTTCAATCGGATAAGTATAGCTTTAATTATGATTAAAACGCCAAAATGTGATAGGAACTTGCTGATTTTAGACTTTCTTTTGCTTGACATGATCATTGTGATCTAGGGCTTGGATTTGAGCAAGACAATGATGTATGATGGATAAGGTTCGTGAGCCATGGTTGGTGAGTGATCCCCAAACTATTTGTAAAGTTACTTTTCGAACTAATTCTTGCATTGATTACTCGATTGCATATCATTTGTGTTTGTGTGTGTGCCATGACATGATTTGGCTCCATTGAGTTCTTAGGAAATCTTGTCCTTAGAACCAATGGCTCCACCTCTGTTTACTGTTTATTTGGAACACAAATGGCTCCCTATTCCTGTTTCACTATTACTGGATCTCTTTGAGCTTTGGACGTCTAAGTACCATGATTTCACTGGCTCACAAAAGCAATAAACGTACATTTAATTACTGATTCATTACATTATTAAATTGAACTATTGTGAAACTTATTTGATTACTGATTTCACTAGACACTCGCTAAGTTTCTAACTCACCCCAAAATTTATTTTTCCCTCCATAGGGCTCGAGGCGAAGGAAGTGCTTGTAGTACTTGTTCATGTGATTGGATGAATTATCTCCTGTACAGTTTGAGTTTTAGATTTAACTTGTGTAATAGTTAGGATTGTATGAGTGATTGGAATTGAACGAATATATATGTGCGTTCCATGCTCGGGAACTAGTATTTGCTTCATTTTGATATGTATATTCATGGAGGAATTGATGTATATTTGAGATTTACATTGTAATTTAATTGAGGACTGTAGTGAGTGAGTGAGTTCCGGCGAGAGTTGGGCAGGCGATCCGCCGAACCCTTTAGTTCGCCTTACAGTGAGGCGGGGCTGTCACACTGCCATAACGATTAGACAGGACTATAGCCCCTACCGTCTATCCCATGACTGTTTTGAGCTTTACTTGTCAAAAATTTATTCCACATGTCACATACATAGATCTTTGATGTCATAAAAGATTCAACTTGTTTGGTATATAATAACATATCAAAACATTTCAAATAAGTCACATGATCCATTTTTGTATAGTAAAAATATAATTTTCATAAATATCCAAGTAAAGCATTTAATCAAATACATTTCAAGTCAACATAACAAAATAGGATTGGAAACAAAAATCTCATTTTTGCACCTTTGAAATCTCAGAAGGGTAAGTACCACCTACCTTCATTTGGCTTCTCAAGTGGAACTACATTAGGTCTTTTAAACTGGTACCGTACCTATCAAATGCATAAGTTTCCTAATTAGTCGTTATTTCCTATAAATGCATACATATACAAACTCTGAGTGGATCGAAGATTCATGTCTAGACCATTATATGAACCCTAACAGTATTCCCCCTAAATTAGATGATTTCTATCTTCGAAAAGTTTCCAAATTTGGAAAGTTTCTATTTTTAGAAAGTTTCTTAATTTGGACGGTTCTCAATTTGTAAAGTTTCCTAATTTAAAAGAGAATAATTATTCATAATCCTGTTTGTTATCTTGAGTATTGTCTTACTATACATATTTATAATTTCTAATTATTCATTATTGTTATTATCGTTCTCATCGTCGCTAGTTTATTTTATTACCACTTATATAAATATATATACATATATCTATTTGTTAATTAGTTACTATTACCTCTCACTTTATTTTCCACTTTTAAGCAGGTGTAAGCGTTATTATCGTTTATGTATACTTGTACGTCTATATATATATTGACTTATTATAGTTATTGTCTTAGTTTGCTTCACTCATATTTATATTTGATTTTTGTTTATATTCTTAATTTATTTCTCCATGTCCATATTATTATTATTCTTACTATCATTGTTTTATTAATTATTATTTACTATTATTATTATTATTAGTGTTATCGTTCGTATTATTTTTTACTACTACTACTACTATAATTATTGTTATTATTATTATTATTATTATTTTAAGCGTTTTGTTTAACAACTTAGAATTGATCTTACATTATCTAAATTAACCTAATAAGGTTAAATTAAGATGTTTTAAATTTCTATTTAAGTACCTTAGACTTAATCAATCAAGTAAAGTTTTAAATAACTAACCCTTCAATTCTAACGACTACTTTAGATTGGGTCCTAAATTTTGATACCCATGATACACTATAAATTATATTTAAATTTATTTATTAAACATTTACTATATTTTGTATTATATTTTGGTCCCTATACAATTTGTCAAATTTTCTCCGTCCTCGGGTTGAACCCATGGTTGGCCAAAAGGCCAACTAGTTGTTTGACTGTCGCCAGCAAGCCTGGCGACCCTTTGTTTCCATTGGTTGGCCAAAAAAGGCCAACCATGACTTTGGTCACTTGCTGGCGACATCATCTATCAAATTTTTTTTTAAATTTTCGTTTCGGTCTTGGCCAACCCTTGCAAATCCTTTTTCTGCCGCAAGCAATGGCGGCCCCCGCTCTTTTTTTTTTTTTTTGTGGCGTTGCTTCTGCAACGCCTAGCCCAAAACAGATTCTCTTCTTTTTTTTTTTTTTCCTCCAACAGATTTGGGCAACCTATTTAACCAAAGATTAAAATCTGACGCCCTATTTCTACGAATCCACATACGAATCTTCTTAAAAACATATATATCTACATATATATAGCAACAATACATATTCGTAAAATTCATAGGACAATTAATGCAACTACTAAAATTTAAAGGGAAGTTTTGCGTGAACTTGGGACTTACAGGTTTAGGTGCCTAGTCGTCTGATCGATTGACGGTGTCGCCTGCTTCTCCTTTTCTATTCTCTAACGGCTCTTGCTCTAGGGAGGCAAACGAAAAAAAGGTAAGGATGGTGTTATTTTTCTTTCTAGGGTTTCAATAAAATCCTAAACCTAGCACTACCCACTAGTAGGTGGTTTGGATAAAAGTTTTAGTTTATTAGGAACCCTTATCCCATCCTATAGTTATTTTATTCTACTTTTTTCTTTTATCTAGTAATTTTATCTTTTTAATTAATTGAAAAAATAAAATAATAAAATCGGTGCCAAAAACGTGGGTTTTACATTCTACCCCCCTTATAAAAAATTTTGTCTCGAAACTTACGTACCTTGATCAAAAAGATATGAGTATCTATTCAGTATGTCCTTCTCTAACTCCCACGTTGCCTCTCGTGGTGTATGGTTTGTCCATTGCACCTTCACGTAGGGTGTGGTCCTCCTCTTTAGAACTTGGTCCTTCTAATCCACGATTTTTAAAGGAACTTCCTCCACCGATAAATTCTCCCTCACTTTGATGGGTCGGTCCTCCAAAATATGGCTCGGGTCTAATACATACTTCCTCAGTTGGGAAACATGAAAAAATATTATATATCCTTGACAAAGTAGGTGGGAGAGCCAGTCAATACGCTAGAGGTCCAACTCTATCCAATATTTCGTAAGGTCCTACATACCTCGAACTCAACTTGCCACTTCATCTAAATCTCATCATTCCCTTGGTAGGGGATACCTTCAGATACATCTTTTCTCTCAGTTGAAACTCTAAAGGTCTCCTTTTGGAATCTGCCCAACTCTTGTTTCGGTCCTAAGTTATTTTTAATCTTTCCCGAATAATCTTAATCTTCTCCAAAGTTCGTTCCACCAAATCAGGACGAGTGATCAGCTTCTCACCTACTTTATCCCAATATAAGAGCGATCTACACTTGCGCCCATATAACACCTCAAATGTTGCCATACCTATACAACTATAATAACTATTATTGTACGAGAACTCCATTAGTTTCACCAACTTATCCCAACTATCCGCGAAGTCTAGTGCACAGGCTCGGAGCATGTCTTCCAGAGTCTGTATGGTCCTTTCCTACTGTCCATCCGTCTGAGGGTAGAAGGCGGTACTTAATCTCATATCTGTCCCCATAACTTCTTGATAGGTCGACCAAAATCTAGACGTGAACCTAGGGTCTCGATCAGATACTATACTCATTGAAACACCGTGAAAACATACGATTTCCTCCATGTACATCTCCACCAACCTCTCCATTGTTATCCCATTTGACATTGGTAGAAAGTGGGCAGATTTGGTTAGCCGATTGACTCTCACCCAAATGGCATCGTTATTCCTCATTATTCGAGGCAATCCTACTACAAAATCCATTGTCACATGTTCCCACTTTCATTGGAAAATTTCTAGGGCTTGCAATAAGCCGGCAGATCTTTGATGCTCGACTTTTACCTGTTGGCAGACCAGACACTTCGCCATATATTTGGCTATTTCTCGTTTCATCCCATTCCACCAATAATTACTCTTCAAGTCTCGGTACATTTTTGTTCCCCAAGGATGAATCGAGAATCTTGAATTGTGTGTCTCCTTTAGCAATTCCTGCTTCAATCCTTCATCCCTTGACACACATAATCTACCATCTTTCCACATACTCCCATCATCTTTCAATTCAAATCATCAAAGGGTTCCACCCTAAGTTTTTACTTAACCTTTGCAGACCCGTCATCAGAATGTTATGCTTCCTTAAGCCTATCTATTAAAGTAGGTACGACCACTAGGGCAGCTAGCATTCGAACCGTGGAGTCCACCATTTCCACTTCAAAATTTTTTGCCTGATCCTTTGCCGTGGGTAACACCCTTGACTTCCTACTGAGGGCATCTATTACCTTATTTGCCTTACCCGGATGGTAACTGATTGTCAAATCATAGTTCTTAATGAATTCTAACCACCTCCTCTGCATCATGTTCAATTCCCTTTGAGTAAATAGATACTTGAGACTCTTATGATCGGTAAAAACCTCACATTGCACACCATATAAATAATGCCTCCATATTTTCAACGTAAATACTACTGCCGCCAATTCCAAATCATGCGTTGGATAATTCTGCTCGTAAGGTTTCAATTGGCGAGAAACATAGACAATCACTCTCTTATTTTGCATCAAAACGCATCCTAAATCATTTTTAGAGACATCATTATAAATCACAAATCCTTCTGTTCCAGAGGGTAGGGTAAGTACCGAGGCTGACACTAGTTTCTTCTTTAACTTCTGAAAACTTGTTTCACATTTATCTATCAATTCAAACTTTGCTCTCTTCTGAGTCAACCTAGTAAGAGGCATAGCGATAGTGGAGAATCCTTTCACAAATTTTTTATAATAGCTGGTCAACCCTAAGAAACTCCTCACTTTGGTTATATTAGTGGGCCGTGACCAATTTACAATTCCCTCCACCTTCTTTGGGTCAACAGACACCCCTTGACCTGATATCACATGTTCTAAGAATGTCACACTCTTCAGCCAGAACTCACATTTACTAAACTTAGCGTACAGTTTCTCCCTTCTCAGTATTTCTAGGACTTCCCTAAGGTGGGCAGCATGAGTTTCTTCATTTGGAGAGTACACTAAAATATCATCAATAAACACAACCACGAAACAGTCAAATTGTGATTTAAATACCCGATTCATTAGATCCATAAAGGCTGCCGGAGCGTTCGTTAATCCAAAGGACATTACAAAAAATTCATAGTGTCCGTACCTCGTACGAAATGCACTTTTTTGGATGTCCTCGACTTTAATTTTTAATTGATGGTATCTAAATCTCAAATCTATCTTAGAGAATATCTTAACTCCCTTCAATTGGTCAAATAGGTCATCTATCCTTGGAAGGGGATATTTGTTCTTTATTGTGATCTGATTCAACTCCCTATAATCGATACACAATCTCAGGCAACCATCCTTCTTCTTTACAAAGAGTAATGAAGCACTCCAAGGAGAAACACTAGATCTAATGAATTTCTTATCCAATAATTCCTATAATTGCTCCTTAAGTTCCTTTAATTCCGCAGGCGCCATTCTATAGGGGGACTTAGATATGGGATTCGCTTCAAGTACAACATTTATTTCAAATTCTATTTTTCTATCTGGAGGTAGACCAGAGTGGTCTTCCAGAAACATGTCAGGAAAGTCCTCCACCTCCGGAATCTTTTCTAAAGACGTCTTCTCTTTCTCCGTATCTGCAACATAAGTCAAATATGTCTCATATCCTTTTCTTATGGCCCTATACGCTTGCATGGCAGATAGGAGAGGTAACTTACGAATTTTTCTATTACCAGCATTTCCTTGGTATGAGAAATCCTCCTCGTTCGATTTCATGAATAACACCCTCTTCTTCCTACAATCAATTTGGGCAAAATGTCTAGTTAGCCAATTCAGTCCTAGAATAATATCAAAATCACTCATATTTATATGCACTACGTCCACTTCTAATCTCCTATCCTCCAATTCCACATTACGATTTGGATACCTAGTGTGAGACACTATAATCCTATTTCATGGAGCAGCCGCTCGGTAGGGGTGGTCCATCCATTCAGGAGACATACACAAGTACTTTGCAAATTTCTTAGCAATAAAAGAGTGACTAACTCCACAATCAAATAGCACGTATGCAGGCACAGAATTAATCAGAAGAGTATCTGTGACCACATCGCCTGACACTTCCGCCTCATCATCGGTCATGGCATGCACCCTCGCGTTCACTTTTAGCTCCTTATCAGTGAGATTGCCACTCTTATCTCGTTCTACCTTCCTATTTGGACAATTCATAGCCCTATGCCCTTGCTGTCCACATTCAAAACAAGCTCCTGTTCCAACTCGGCATTCCCCTCGATGTATCCTCCCACAGGTTTTGCATGGAGGGAAACTCGTCTTAAGTCGGTATTCTCCCCGATGCATTTTCTAGTAAGTTTTGCACACAGGGAAGGTATTTCCTCCAGTTATCTTCGGTGGTGGCCCATGATTTTTCTTAATTAAGCGGAACCGTCCGCCGGGTTTCAACGCTCCTGACACTGCAAGTTCATTTCCTAGTCTAGGCCTTTTATTCTTATCCTCTTCATCCAATCTTTTGCAATCAGCCTCAACTTTAACGCTGGCGTCCAACACGTCATTAAACGTAGGGGTGTAAGCGGTGTTTACCCTAGTTTGGATTCTACTCGACAACCCCCATAGAAACTTATATTTTTTCAACTCGACATCCGCCATTGTTGACGGCACGAACCTTCCTAATGCCGTGAACTTATTCGAATACTGCACCACAGACATCCCCGATGTTTGTTTCAAATTTTCAAACTGGTTTATTTTCTGCATTCTCATGGCAGGTGGGAAAAAGTATTTCAGAAATTCCTCTTTAAATTTTGTCCAACTTATTGGTGGAGCAACGGTAGGCTCCAGAGTTGTCCACCACTTATTGGCTTCTCCTACCAAAAAGGGTTTGATGATTAGGTGTTTCATCTCCTCCGGCACTTGCAAAAGTGTAAAATTAATTTCTATTTCATCTAACCACTTTTCTGCCAAATTCGGGTCAGGAGTTCCATCAAAGGTAGGGACATGGACTCTCTTCATTTTCTCATAATATGATTGAGTTCCCCCTTGTCCATGATTCTGGATTTGGACAGCCTGAATCTGTGTTAACTATGTTTGGGTTTGTAGTGCTTGAGCTACTCCGGTTAGTGCAGTCACTAACTCTGCGGGTAACATCATGTAAGGTTGATGCTCACTTGAACCAGCCCTTTGGTAACCCATACTCTGATTATTATTTCCTTGATATGGTTCTTGGTTGTGATTACCTTGGGTGTTCTCACCATTGGGGCTGCCATTGTGATTCCTGCCACGCCTAGTGGTTGGTGTCATTTTCTAAGTCACACAAATAAGTTCTATACTGAGTAAATATTTTATTCTTATTTATTATTATACATAAATATATATATATATATATATATATATATATGAATATATGCTTTTAAGACGATCCAACTAAAGTGGTCTACTTGCATATTTTACACATACTACCCCCAAAATAAAATGGATGGAAAAATAATAATAATAATAAAAGAAAATTTTAAACATGAGGTTTCATTCGCTAACTTCAAATGAGAAGAACGATCGACTTCTTACACATCGAAGTGAATATCCTAACTTATTCTAAAAATATCTAACGAATCTAGTATCCAAACTTTCTAATTATAACCTATGATTGGATAGAAAAGTAAGCAACCTACTAATGTTCCTGACATAATATTCCTTAACACTAATAAAATAAATGAATTGTTAAATGGTATCTCTCTTGGACCAACTCTACTATTCATCCGCTGGTGGGTCTGCATCCTCAATTGCACCATCTCCTACGCCCTCTCCAGCACCGTCCTGGTCCTCAACTCTATTTTTTTCCCTCATGATTTTCCACGAGCATGTTCTCAGGGTCGTCCTTGGGGTCATCCTCTAGCTCCGCTTCATTATCAAGCCATAGGTGATTCCACCTAAGCATTTGGGGTGCAAGGGGTTGGTGGCCACCTATCCAGTTCATCACGCGCTGCCTCCTCTCTTCATACTTCACCGCTAAAATTTCTTACTCCGCATCTCGATTCTGGAGTAGAGAAGTTACTTTTTCAAATCCTTCATTATACATATTAGCTAGTCCCTTCTGTACTTCCATTTCTGCTTTCAACTTATTGACCTCTTCCAGTAGACAGAGGGCCTCCCCACGCCAGCCTTCCATGTCCTATCTCATGTGTTCCCTCGACACTATCAACGTCGAGATCTCGTGCGTTCGGTCAGCTACTCGATCAGCCAACGCATAAGCCTCCCTAATTCCGTCCGTGGCTCTCTCTAACTCCTCAAGGAACCTGTCTCTATAGAATTTTTGTCTCTTCCTAAGACGGGCCACAGTCGCACTCCTGATGCTCCCCGTGTACTGGTTCGGCCATTTATACAATACCAAAAGGAACACTATCAGTCCTGATTTCTTCTTTTCTAAGGTACACAGATCTTTTCAAGCCTAACTTACTAATTACTACCATTCATTTCCTAAATCGTTCTATCTTATGGGGTCACTTCGAACCTACGCTCTGATACCACTAAAAATATCATGCCCCGAGCCCGCACGTGCCCGTCACGTGGCATCCGCCGTATTCTCAAATCCCACTCAAGAATACAAGGCAATATTTAACTAGTCTAAACTTCAAAAGTACGAAATAATATAACTAAATAAAGTACGGTGCAAATGTCTGTCAAGGATAGTCTACGAATATCCAATAACTTCGTACAATTATTCCCGAATTGAAACAATAGAAAATGGATATAAGTAAACTAACGACTAGAAGTAGCTTGCCTGCCAACTTTTATTCATTTAACGCTAATAAAAGTCGTCATCAGGGTCTTCTACGTAAATCAACTCATACTCTTCAGAATCTGCAAGAATGGTAAAAAGTGGGTTGAGCGACAAGTCGCTCAATAGGTAATATCTACCCCTCTATTGGACCATGTACTCGTAATTTGATAGATACATATATAGATACAAATCAAATCATTTACGATCACATCCATGATCTTGAAAGCAACTTCTTTTAATAAATGTCAGTAATAACGAGTGGCAAGCAATTTAAAAGCACCTTATTGATAAATGTACATGAAAAATCATAAAGTCATAAATCATTTCATTTCAATTCACAAGTCTCTTCATATCCATTCATAAATCAATTCATATCAGTTCATAAGTCTCATTTCAGATCAGTTCATAAATCATTCTATATCAGTTCATAACAAGTATATGTAATGACCAGCTACTAAGTACTCAACCTAGAGATTAAACCCCTTCTAGGTGGGCGACCAATAGATTTCATGACTACCGATTGGTCTCATTTCATACATGGATCAATCGGCCGAACTTTATACTAGGCTACCATGACTTTGTCAATCGGCCGGACTTTATACCAGACTACCATGACCTTATCAATCGGCTGAATTTTATACCAGACTACCATGACGATTAGACATGAATATAGACCCTACCGTCTATCCCATTACTGTTTTGAGATTTACTTGTCAAAAATTTATTCCACATGTCACATATATAGATCCTTGATTTCATAAAAGATTCAGCTTGATTGGTATATAATAACATATCAAAACATTTCAAATAGGTCACATGGTCCATTTTTGTATAGTAAAAATATAACTTTCATAAATATCCAAATAAAGCATTTAATCAAATACATTTTGAGTCAACACAACAAAATAGGATTGACAACAAAAATCTCATTTTTGCACCTTTGAAATCTCAGAAGGGTAAATCCTACCTACCTTCGTTTGGCTGCTCGAGTGGAACTACCTTAGATCCTTTAAACTGGTACCGTACCTATCAAATGTATAGGTTTCCTAATTAGTTATTATTTCCTATAAATGCATACATATACAAACTCTGAGTAGGACGAAGATTCATGTCTAGACCATTATATGAATCCTAATAGTATTCTCCCTAAATTAGATGATTTCTATCTTAGAAAAGTTTTCTAATTTGAAAAGTTTCTATTTTTAGAAAAGTTTTATTTTTAGAAAGTTTCCACTTTTGGAAAGTTTCTTAATTTGGACGGTTCTCAATTTGTAAAGTTTCCTAATTTAAAAGAGAATAATTATTCATAGTCCTGTTTATTATCTTGAGTATTGTCTTACTATACATATTTATAATTTCTAATTATTCATTATTATTATTATTATCGTTCTCGTCGTCGCTAATTTATTTTATTACCACTTATATATATATATATATATATATCTATTTGTTAATTAGTTACTATTACCTCTCACTTTATTTTCCACTTTTAAGCGGGTGTAAGCGTTATTATCGTTTAAGTACACTTGTACGTCTATATATATATTGACTTATTATAGTTATTGTCTTAGTTTGTTTCACTCGTATTTATATTTGATTTTTGTTTATATTCTTAATTTATTTCCTTCATGTCCATATTATTATTATTCTTACTATCATTGTTTTATTAATTATTATTTACTATTATTATTAGTGTTATCGCCTGTATTATTTTTTACTACTACTACTACTATAATTATTGTTATTATTATTATTATTATTAGTATTATTATTATTATTATTTTAAGCATTTCGTTTAACAACTTAGAATTGATCTTACATTGTCTAAATTAACCTAATAAGGTTAGATTAAGATGTTTTAAATTTCTATTTAAGTACCTTAGACTTAATCAATCAAGTAAGTTTTAAATAACTAACCCTTCAATTCTAACTACTATTTTAGATTGGGTCCTAAATTTTGATACCCATGATACACTATAAATTATATTTAAAATTTATTTATTAAACATTTACTACATTTTATATTATATTTTTGTCCCTATACAATTTGTCAAATTTTCTCCGTCCTCGGGTTGAACCCATGGTTGGCCAAAAGGCCAACCAATTGTTTGACCATGGTCGCTAGCCAGCCTGGCGACCCTTTGTTTCCATTGGTTGGCCAAAAAAGGCCAACCATGACTTTGGTCCATTGTCGCCAGCACATCGTCTATCAAATTTTTTTTTATTTTCGCTTCAGCCTTGCAAATCCTTTCTCTGCCGCCAGCGATGGCGGCCCCCACTCTTCTCTTTTTTTTTTTTTTTTGTGTGTGGCGTTAGTTCTGCAATGCCTAGCCTAAAACAGATTCTCTTCTTTTTTTTTGTTTTTCCTCCAACAGATTTGGGCAACCTATTTAACCAAAGATTAAAATCTAACACCCTATTTCTACGAATCCACATACGAATCTTCCTAAAAACATATATATAGCAACAATACATATCCGTAAAATCCCTAGGACAATTAATGTAACTACTAAAACTTAAAGGAAAAGTTTTACATGAACTTGGGGCTTGCAGGTTTAGGTGCTTAGTCGTTTGATCGATTGACAGTGTCACCTGCTTCTCCTTCTCTACTCTCTGACAGCTCTTGCTCTAGGGAGGCAGACGAAAGAAAGGTAAGGATGGTGTTATTTTTCTTTCTAGGGTTTCAATAAAATTCTAAACCTAGCACTACCCACTAGTAGGTGATTTGGATAAGAGTTTTAGTTTATTAGGAACCCTTATCCCATCCTACAGTTATTTTATTCTATTTTTTCTTTTACCTAGTAATTTTATCTTTTTAATTAATTGGAAAAATAAAATAATAAAATCGGTGCCAAAAACGTGGGTTTTACACCCTTGCCACATCCGTGTGTCGTCCGCCACGTGGCGAGAGGTGATTGACTTCCTGGTGTCATGGCAAGCGGTGATTGGTGGCAAGTTTTTGAACATGTCCTGCACGTGACTTTGTTTTCTTTTTCCTTTGTTTGGTAGTGCATTGGTCTTCAGACTCTTCACAGGAAATCAGGAACGCCTCCACCAACCCCAACCACTCCAGTCTCGAGTCGTCCTCTTCCTTTGTTTCTTATGGGAGAAAGTTACCTGCTCCCAACTTTTCAGTGATAGTAGCGGGTTCCCTTTCTCCATTACTTTCATTAGCCATCTGACTCCTTCTCTCTAACCCTTACTTTCTCTTTCTTCTCGTCTTCTTCCTCATTGT